GCGGACAGCGAATTGAGATAACTTTGAATTTGAGTGGGCCGCGCATGCGCAATAAGCTCACTAGCTTTGCTTCGTCCATTCTATGTTTGTATATTCAACTTAAATATGCAAGAATTAGAAGCAAGAATCAATATTTTTAGCTAAAATTTAAATTATTCTTTTATTTTCCCGCTAGCAATGGAATGCAAAATCACTTCTTGAATTGGTTAAAAGCAACAATTTTTTTTTTTTAGCCAAAGGCATTGACGGGTTGTCTTTATCGCATTTTTTTTTTGTGAGCTTTAAGTGTTGAAGACACGTTAAAAGCTGTTAAATTTTAAAGTTCATTAATAATACTAAACTAATAATAATAACAACACTGTGGCTCTAGGTCACTAAGTATAATAAATTATATAGAACAGAATCGAAAAGTGAAATGCGTTAAAGTGAAATTTAGAACTAGTGAAGGAGAGTGAATTTTCATAAGAAAAATACGTATGTACATTAGAACGTCCCGGAAAAAAATGTTCGCTGTATGTACACCTCTAAGTCTAAAGTATATTGGCAAAACCATTTCGAACGTAGTGAACGCCTTCTCACATATTTCGGCATATCTTTGGCATTTATAGTCGGGTCTTAAGGTGTGACATATACATACATCGATTTTTTGTTTCGAGGAGGCATTTTTTGGTTTGAAGTTCATTAACCTCAAGTATCACGCTAAGGTACCACCCTAATGACAGTGCATTAAAGCTAACCAAATATCATTAAATTTCAGGTAGGAAGTATTTTGAATATTGCAGTTGAACAATTTTTTAATTGCCGAATTTAAGTGTCACCGAAAAATGTAAAATGGCGCAATTAATATTCTTTTTATTATTGAAATTGCTTTGCAAAGATACTTTAGACTCAGAGGTGTACAACGAACTTTTTTGATTTTGTAGGGTGGTGCGGTCTCGTAAATTAAGCGTTAGATCCCATAGGTTAGATAGAATTATTTTAAAAGGAAATAACTTAGTCTCAGGGATCTTCGTGATACCGCAAGGAAGGTTTCCAATTATGCCGGTTTATCTAGAACTACTTGGAGCAAATAAAAGCACAGGTGGCCTCGTAATACGTGAGGCATTATACTTCGTCAAAGAAATAATGATTCAGGACTTCGACTGATATTCTTAATGTATGCAACATGGGTCGGGGTGGTGATAAAGAGGGGACTACAGAAAAAATTAAAAAGAAGAATGCGAGTTGTGAACATGCTCGGCAAAATGTTCGCCGTGCATGGCTGTATTAAATATACATCATTTTATAACCCAGTAGATAATTTAAGAAGTTTATAGCCCCTCCGAAAGGCCTTCCTGAGAGTCAAGAGGCCATCCACTCTACATTCCTTTCTCCTTTCTTTTTTGTATGGACTGTCATCAATTGAAGGGCTTCTTCTTTCGCTGCTCATTAAAGGCCTTCTAGAAGGGCTTTTATAGGACGTACTTCAGAAGGCCTTTTGGAGGAGTTCATTGAGTTTCTCAATGTGTTTTGAGATTAGCAGCAAATCTTGATGTGATGGAGTAAAACGGACTTCAGATTCGTATTCAGCGACCCAAAAAACATATAAAACACGCCGAAAAAGAGGATTCGATTCAATTAAGTCGTCATCATATGCACTTTTCCTCCGCTGATTTTTTTTGTCATTGGGCTGGCTGTCAACGACATAAGCTAGACATGCGTTGGGTACAAATATATAAGGTTGGGTATAAATATTAAGGTGTCTAAAGTTTTTTGGATTCTAATTACAGCATCCACAGTGTGGTAGCTTAAAAATTTGTTGTTCGTCTCTCGATGAATGCCGTTCAAGGCCCACCAATGTACAATGTCGCATCCAAAGGTTATTCAAATTACAAAATTAAAATGATGCATTTTGCGTAACTGGTAGGTGGTTTAGCTCCTAGTAGATGTTACCTTGCATGCTCTCTACAGAACAAACGAAACAGAAATTTCTTAATCAGCATCGTGTTGTCCCTAACACAGATCATCAGCAGACGACCCGGAATGAAGTTAAGCTCCTCTTCTTCAACTGCGTTCTTCTTGCCAACTTCATGTAACATATAGAAACCGCCGCGGCTTGTTACATGACTTATTCGAAGACTCGAATTTAGTTGGCGAATCATCTGAACAAATAAAATTTCTCACCAGATGCAGCCTACATTCTCAACACGTTTCAGCAATATTTGTTAGTTTCTAAATCACTTGTTTGCCTCTATAATTGAATATCAAAGAGCCGCAAAAGCCTCTTTTTCCCCCGATACACTAAACTTCAGTTTTATTGATTTTAAAACACGCGCGCATGCGCATGCCGCAACCATGAAAATCTACATAGTGGCTTAGAATGCCTAAGTCACTGGCATCATTTATTGGCATAACTGATTCGAAGTTGTAGGAGCAGCCAAATCGTTAGCTTGTTGCTGGCATCCACGAGATTTTTCACTTACTTTGAGGCAAGGCCAAGCACTAAAAACAATGGCGCGCGCAGCGAGGCAAGTGAACACTGTGCACAAAATAGAGCAGTGCATACGAGTGCCATTGAATAAAGCTTCGATGCTATGAAACGTAACATGCCACACAATGTTGTAACACTGCAACAAGGCGACAGCTTTGGCATTTGGTCATGACACTGAGACAGAGTTTGATGCTTACCAAATGAGGCGCTCGGCAATTTGGAGATTTAACTCAAATTGGACTATCAATCACGAAGGTACTAGCCAGCAGACGCACCATGTAATCCAGTAAAAAAAAAGCAACAGCAAAGCTGGCAACAACTTGTGATTGACGTGGGCGCTGTTGTCGGTTGTGTCTGTCAAGAAATGGATCACTACTGACAACAGCTGCAGTAGCCACTACAAGGAGAAGGAGGAAACCTTGCCCCTGTTTAGAAAATGTGGTAGTTGTGTTCTTGGGCAAAGTGCGATGTTGCTACTGTGCCACATATTTAAGTTTTGGTTTTTTTTTTGTTGCCACTATATGTAGCGGTTGTCAGTTGTTAATGATTGTTGTTGGTTGCGTGGTTTTGATGTGCAATGTTTGCATTGCCGCCTAGCTACCTGTTATAATACCGATACAATTTTCAGTGGCTATGTCTGCGGCATGACGGACAAGTGTTACGGAACATGCAATTAAATGAAATTGCCCACACTGCTGCTTTTATCGCTAAGATAGTCGCTCGTCTGCATTGCCATTGGAGCTGTATACCTACAAATGTACCGTGCTGAGGTGGATAGCTCTTAAGGCTCTGCATCTAAGTGCATACAGGTTGAAGGAAGCGGAGCGTGCACTTGATTTTTTTTGTTTTAAAAGTGAACAAATATGAAAACTAATGGCCTTATTTATAAAAAATAAAGTACGTTTAAAAAGCTCTATGCATTGACGTTCTCATACAATTTCCAATTTATAAGCCTTTGTAAAGTTACTTTATTTTTTCATGAATAAGGCTATAAGTATATAAATAAACGATCTTGTTGATCGAAGCAATATCGATTTTTCAAAAATGTATCGATTAATTTGTTCGTAGATTTATTTCGCTTGTGGTAGTATAAGTAGATAAGATATATGTATATAATAGATAAGATAAAAAATATGGAAACAAATTATAAGACCAAATGGTTGTGCTAAGTATAATAATATAGATATCGATAAATATATGGGTAACAATAATTATCTAAATACTTATCCATAATTTTGGCCGTGTTTATCGGTATGTATTTCGATGTCCATATTTATTATTTATCTTTATAACGAGATGATTAAAATTATTTATAACGATACCGATAAATATACTGATTACTTTAAAGTATTGATAAAGATACCACTAGATAAATCGATCATCGATTAACTTATCGATAATTATATCGACAAATGTGTAAAAATAATTATATGTATATGACACAATACTAAAATGAAACAAATCTTACATTTTTTGTCATGTTCTTCAGGTTGAAATCAAACCCACAACTTTCCTCTTTGCTACTCGATATGCCATTCATAAGCACATTATGCAAAAAAAAAA